AGAAGAGCTCACTACTCTGGTAGCACCATGGCCGTTTGCTCAGTGGGGATTGGATCTTTTGGGACCATTCATCAAAGGGGTTGGTGGTGTAACCCACTTAATTGTTGGTGTAGATTATTTCACAAAGTGGGTTGAAGCTTGGCCGCTATCCAGTCTTACTTCCAAGAAGGTTGAAGACTTTGTTTTCAGTTCAATTATCTGTAGATATGGGATCCCGAATCAGATTGTGGCTGATAATGGAACTCAATTTAACTGCACCTCTTTTCGAGATTTCTGTTCCAGCTACGGGATTAAACTGCAGTTCACCTCGGTTTACCATCCAGAGTCCAATGGCATGGTCGAATCTGTTAACAAGTGCATCTTAGAAGGTATAAAGCCGAGGCTGGAACAACGCAAGGCCAAATGGGTAGACGAGCTCAACAACGTCCTCTGGGCGTACCGAACTATGAGTCGAACTGCCACAGGTATTACTCTACACCGGGCCTATTCGGTTAATTTTATATTGCTTTACTTCGTTTGCTATAGTTTTACCTTAGAACAACTATGCATAACGTGTAAAGCGCGTTCTAAAGTTATAATCCACTGAACTAGGTGAAACACCCTATCATCTGGCCTTTGGAACCGAAGCAGTCATTCCTATTGAGATAGGAGTTCCAAGCTTCAGAGTCACCCATTTCGATGAAAGACGGAATGGACAACTGCTTCGGGAGAACCTTGATCTGCTTGATGACCTTAGAGAAGAAGCACTACTTCGAACTCTAGTTTACAAGCAGAAAATAGCAAACTTCTACAATAAACGAGTTCGACCCCGATCATTCAAAGTGGGAGACCTTGTTCTCAGGAAAGCTGGTCTAACGGGGTTCGAAACTAGATTCGGCAAATTAGCATCAAATTGGGAAGGCCCCTACACTGTCGCCGAAGTGCCGCACCCAGGTGTTTATATCCTACGGGACACTGACGGAAAAAGGGTTCCTAGAGTCTGGAATGTCAATAATTTGAAGACATTTTATCCTTAATGCATCTCTTTCCAGAAAACTTTGTTATTCCTTTACATCGTTAATGAACTTCACTTCACATTCGAAGTGATTCAGTCCTGTCACTATGACTTATTCAGTCACTTCATTTGTGGGGTTATGATTTTATTACACTTACATTTGAAGTGATTTACTCATTTCTGTATTTGAAGTCCGCCTATCATATATCCAAGGTCAGAGATCAGAACCTTGTGTTAAATAAAGTTACTCTATTTTATCCGAAGTCATTCACTTAAAATAAACTAGCAATTCAAACCAAAACTGAAGATCAAGAGTAAAACTTTAAAAATTTTATAAAATCTCCACAAATGTTATTTACAAATACCATTAACAAAATTAAAACCTAAGCTACTCTGTTGGAGGAGGAGGCTGCTCCTCAACAGGAAGAGGCGGTAGCAGTGGCTCGTCTCCAGCAGGCAGGATTGGCACTTCTGCTTCAGGGGGGGCAGCAGCTGCACCTCGTCAGAGGAGACTGGCTGCACTTCCGGAAGCTGCAATTCGGCCATTGCCGCCTCAACTCCAGCGTCCAGCACTTCTTCTTCTTCTTCTTCTTCTTCTTCTTCTTCTTCTCCCTCCACAGCCACCAACTCAGCATCAAAGGTTGGAGGAAATATGGTGCGCCCCTCTGCATCACGCTCCCACCTCAGAGTAATCTGAGGGCGGAAGTCCGCACAGAGACTCTCGCCATCTTCCTCCACTCCTTCCTCCTGTTCCCCAAAGGTGACCGTTGTCACGTCCACCTCAGGGTACTGAGCCTTCACCTTCTTTCTGCAGTCGGTGAAGGCCAGGATGGCGGTTGGCATCCGGTATAGCTTGAGGATGTCCTCGAAGGTGCTGGAGTTGAGGAAGTTGCCAATATGTCCCTCCATTCCGTTGTGCACCAACAGCTCCACGTTCTTCTTCAGCTCTACTGCCCCTTTCTTCAGGCTCTCGATATATTTGTCTTGAGCCTCGAGCTTCTCTTCGCAAATTTTCCTTTTACGTTCCTCAAGAGAGAGTTTCGTGCTCAAGACATTGTTATCACTTTGGAGCTCTGTCACTGTTGGTGTCACCTCATCCAGCCTCCTTTGAATCTGCTGGTTTTTCTTCTGCAACTCCCCCATTTCCTTCTGGAGCTCCTCCTTCTCCTTTCGCAGGGCATCGCACTGCCTCTGCAAGCTGGCACGATCTCTAACGCTCTCTGTATACTCCTGTGCTAGAGCGTTTGTCCAGCTCGCACTCTACAATGCAATCAGAGGTCAGACATCAGACATAGGGGACAAAAAACTCAAACATGCAACCAGAGTAAAGTCTAGATTTCGGATACCTCTAGGGCGTGCCTCACCACGGTATACCCCGCATGGCTAAGCACCTCGTTCTTCGCTTGCATCCTATCCACGTCAGGAAGCGTAGTGTTGAGAAAGTGCTTTGCCCCAGTCATGTTTGTCGCCTCAAACAAACCTTTCTGGTACGCGTGGGGTGGGGTGCGCTCCTTGCCCCCACTAAGGCCTCGCACCTCGGCCTCTCCCCTCTCCTGGACCTCAGGATCGATTTCTGGAGGAGAAGGTCGAGGCACGAACTCCACCACCTCATCCACCCTGCCTTCTAGCTCTGCCACCCTCCTCTTCTTCCTCTGGAGCGGTGCTGTCTCCTCGCTTACGTCCTCACTGCCTCCCATCACAGGCTCCGGCCTTGGCTGCACCTCCACGGCCCGGGCTGAGGTGCTGGGTAGGCGCTCTCTCTCGGGCACCCCTCTGTTCGCCACAGCTGAAGTCGTTGACTTCTTCCTTGGCTTCTTGGGGATGCGCAGCCCCCCAGCAGCATTGGTAAACTCCTCCATCTCAGCTGCAACACAAGCACAAAAGTCAAAACGCATAAACTAAGATCTAACTAACATAGCACAATGTAAACATACACAGACCTTCGCTCAATGAGCTTGGCTCATAGAGCTCAGCAGCCTCTATTGCCTGCGGACTGGTGAGGTATAGGATGTCCACCATGTCTCCGTCCTCCCTCACCAGCTTCTTCACTTCTTCCGCCTCATCCTCGTTCAACTTTTAGTTGTTCTGCTTGGATTTCTTCGCTTTCCAAGCAGACAACTGCTCCACTTCGGCATCCCTCTTACTCCACTCGGTGTCATCCACAAAGAAAAAATTTTCTTTCCATCCTTTGATGGATGACGGCCCAGGAGAGAATAAATTCTTATTCTCTTTGTTGGACGACCGAGGACCGAAGTGATACCACCCCTTCTCTCCTCCAGCCCCAGCCTTAATTATAAAAAAATGTTTAAACATATTCACAGTGGGAACCCCAACCCCCCGAATTCTGCAGTATACAAGAAAACCTATTACTACCCTCATGGCATTTGGAGTTAGCTGGGTTATTCCTATACTATAATCTAACAACAGCCCAACCAGTAATTCTGGAATGGGAAACCTAAGCCCTGCAATCAAATAGTGCAGGTATATGGGCATCCAATGATCT